GCAGCGGGGGTCGCGCTGAGTGACTTCTATGCCTGGAATCCCGCCGTGGGGAGCAGCTGTGCTGGTCTTTGGCCTAATTACTACGTCTGTGTGGGCGTCCTCGGCGGCGCAGGTACCACTACGACTAAGAGTACTACTACAACGACCTCTGGCAACGGGGTTGCCACTCCAACACCAACTCAGTCAGGCATGGTAAGCAACTGCAAGAAGTTCTATCTTGTTGTGAGTGGAGATGGCTGTTATGATATTGCTGCGGCAGCCGGGATCGCGCTGAATGACTTTTACGCCTGGAATCCCGCCGTGGGGAACACTTGTGCTGGTCTTTGGCCTAATTACTATGTTTGCGTTGGTATTTAGTGGACATGGCTTGAGCTTTCCTGTATATGGCTTATGAGTTTGAATGTTTGATACCGGTATGATGATGGTATGGAAGCAATCTACAGTCCTGAGTTAACACAACCCTTGTCTTATAAACAGAGTAGTGGTTCTGGTGACTCCAACAGAGGCGTCTCACGAAACTATACATGTATTTTCACCGCAGCAATAGTTCTGGTCAAGAGATACAGTTCCAGCAGCACTACAGTAATTCAAACACCTTCGCAGGAGACAACTGGAAAAAGCCTGTACCATCTAGGATCGAATGTGGCTCTTGACTCGCGAGTGATGTGATGTCGGGGTATGGGGGTAGCCACAGTCTTCAGGCACCTTTTTCCTTATCAGGCTTATCAGCTATCAGCTGACCCGCCTTGTCACCGATAAGCGGAGTCACGCCGACCTTCTCCAACTGGCTGTCAACATCCTCCTTGCTGCTCCTTCTTTCCCCCCAATTGAACTTTTTCAATTACAATACGTCGTTTAGCGGTCTAGTAAATCTCTGGCTATCGGTTATTGCAGGCCATAATGACAAAGAAGAGCGTCTTTGATCTTCGTGACTCGAACATGGCCTATCGCCTGTCAGGCCAGCTCCCCGATCCAACGCCTGTGTACGCTCCCAGCACAGCACCTTCTCAGACGACGACCACCACCACCACCACAACCTCGTTTTCTCCTGCAGATTATGCCCAGCCTTACTGTGACTTTATGACCGCGCATCCCACCATCTTCCACGCGGTCGACGGTTTCACAAAGGAACTCGAAAGCAAAGGTTACAAGCGCCTACCTGAGCGTGAGTCCTGGACGTCGAAGCTACAACGTGGTGGGAAGTACTATTGCACCCGGAATGGTAGTGCCTTTATTGCATTCTCTGTGGGAAAGGATTACCAGAGTGGGAATGGCTTGGCTATTGTGGCAGGCCACATCGATGCCTTGACCGCTAGATTGAAGCCTGTCTCTAAGCTTCCCACCAAGGCTGGATTCGTTCAGCTGGGTGTTGCGCCATATGCGGGCGGCCTCAATGAGACATGGTGGGATCGCGACCTGTCAATCGGCGGTCGTGTCTTGGTCCGGGACGCCACTTCCGGGAAGGTAGAGTCAAAACTGGTCAGGTTGGACTGGCCAATTGCTCGGATTCCTACTCTGGCTCCTCATTTTGGCGCTCCTTCGCAAGGGCCCTTTAACAAGGAGACACAGATGGTCCCTATAGTTGGTATCGACAACTCTGATCTCTTTCAGCAGCAAGGGTCACCTACGGCCCACTCGAGTAGTGGTATCAAGCCCGGGTCGTTTGCGGCAACCCAGCCAGAGAGACTGGTCAAGATCATCTCAAAGGAGCTGGGGATCACAGATTATGATACAATCCTGAGCTGGGAGCTGGAGCTCTATGACAGTCAGCCAGCTCGCCTTGGTGGCTTAGAGAAGGACCTTATCTTCGCTGGTCGCATCGACGACAAATTATGCTGCTACGCCGCTCAGCAGGCGCTGCTAGCTTCTCCAGATGACACATCGACGGGGTCAATCAAAATGGTTGGCATGTTTGACGATGAGGAGATAGGCAGCTTGTTGCGCCAGGGTGCCAGATCCAACTTTATGAGCAGCGTCATTGAACGCATCACGGAAGCCTTTGCATCGTCCAATTACGGACCCAATCTTCTCTCCCAGACAGTGGCCAACAGCTTCTTCGTTTCCTCAGATGTCATTCACGCCGTTAACCCTAACTTTCTGAACGTGTACTTGGAGAACCATGCCCCGCGCCTCAACGTCGGCGTGGCCGTCTCCGCCGATTCGAATGGCCACATGACGACTGATAGTGTCAGTTACGGCTTCATCAAGCGGGTTGCCGCCCGATGCGATTCTACATTGCAGGTATTCCAAATCCGCAACGATTCTCGCAGCGGAGGAACCATCGGACCCATGACCAGCGCTCGCATCGGCATGAGGGCTATTGACGTAGGAATCCCGCAACTGAGTATGCATAGCATTCGCGCCACAACAGGTAGCTTGGATCCTGGCCTGGGCGTTAAACTGTTCAAGGGCTTCTTTGACCACTTTGAGGAAGTCGACAAGGAGTTTGCCGACTTTTAGATCTTTGTTTTTTCAGCGAGGCTTTCCATTGGGATATAGACACGTCTGTTCGGTCGAGTCATCTTACGTATAGACGACAGTTCCTCCCTTTAAGAGGTAGATTCTTTTCTGGCTATGTTTTTCTCGGTGGTTTGTGTTGGGCTTGTCGTCGACCAATAACCCGATATCCATCGCCTGGTTCCTTGTTGTTTGTCTCTATGCTCATGACCGTTGTCTTTTACCTTTCATCCGTCTTCGTCACATGCTCTGGCTGGTTGCCATAAGGTAGACTTCGTGTGCCGATGTGCTTACTTGGCGCAGACCAAGACATATTTAACTGCGGTCTGCAGCTAATTTCGTTCTTTCGGTGTAGTAGCAAGAGTAAGACTTTAGCGCATGACGATGTGCACTTATCGTTCACTGTGAACCTTATCACCTCACCACAGTGTGCGGTAATATACCAAATGTTCTTCAATGCGCAAGTCTCATAGAATCAGTTCAATATCGATCCATTATTGGGGGTCGTTGAATGGAGAGCGCCTACGGAAGTACTTTGCCAGTTGACAAACTGATAAGACGCTAAGATAAGTATAACGCACAGACCAACCAAAAATTCCAGCGACACCAGCAGAAAGATTCCCAACCTTCACCAATCGTCAATCTGCTCCTATCTGTGCACCTGCCAGTATTTCATTCCTCTTTGATCCTGCCGTCTATATTCAAGAACTATGGCAGACTCATCAACCCCCACTAAGCCGGTCCACACGATCATTCTTGATGCTGGTCCCATCTTAAAGAATACCCCGCCTCTTTCCACGCTGCTCACACAATGCGAGGAACTCCTCATTACTCCGTCCGTCGTTCGTGAAATTCGCGATCCTGATGCTCGTTTGCGAGTCGAGACACTTTACTTGCCCTTCCTCAGACAGCGAACACCCTCGCCGAAGAGTGTCAGCGTGATCAGCGAATTCGCTCGAAAAACTGGTGATAGAGCCGTGCTCAGTAAAACCGATATCGAGGTTCTGGCGCTCGCATATGAAGTCGAGTGTGAGAGAAATGGCGGTGACTGGAGACTGAGAAGTACCCCTGGCCAGAAACAGGTAAACGGCAAGCCGCCGGTGAAGGAGGAAAAGAAAGTGGAAGAGCCCGAACAGGCGAACACGGCGGAAACAACAGAGACAACAGAGACAGCCGATGCGGCAGAGACGACAGAGACTTCGAAGGTGCCAGAGGTTGACGAAGTTGCGGAGGATTTGAGCAAGACTACGCTTGAAAACGGTGCCGGTGCCACTGAGGAACCAGCCCAATCTACAGAAGACGTAGAGACTCCAGAGACCGCACAAGCCGACGACGGTGAAGGAGGCGCCGACGCTGAACCCGAAGGCGGGGACGATGATGGCTCTGATTCTGATGGTGGCTGGATTACGCCTTCCAATCTGAAGAAGCGACAGGCCCTTGATGAGTCGATCTCTGCGTCTGCAGCACCCGAGCCAAAGATTATGCAGGTCGCAACCATGACCACTGATTTTGCGGTAAGTCCGGAGAACTTTTATATATGTTTAAACCTTGCATTGGAACCAAACTGATCGTCATCATATAGTGCCAAAATGTTCTGCTTCAGATGAACCTCAATTTGCTGTCTACAACTACCCTTCAGAGGATCCGCCATCTCAAGTCCTTCATCAAACGCTGCCACGGTTGTTTTTTCACCACAAAAGATATGACCAAGCAGTTCTGCCCGCGCTGCGGTAAAGATACCCTCACTCGTGTATCTTGCACCACAGATGCAAACGGACAATTCAAGATGCATCTGAAGAAGAATATGCAATGGAACAATAGAGGCAACCGATACAGCATTCCCAAGCCCACCCACGGCAGCTCTAGTGGAAAGTGGAAAGGCGGCGGCGGAAAGGATGGATGGGGAACAGAACTCATTCTTGCTGAAGACCAGAAGGAATACGTCAGAGCATCGGTGGAGGAGAGTCGAAGACTCCGCAAGGAGCGAGACTTGATGGATGAGGATTACTTGCCGGGAATCCTGACTGGCGAACGAAGCAAGCATGGTGGTAGACCTAAAGTCGGCGCTGGAAGGAATGTCAACGCAAGGCGGCGATAATTGTTTTCGCAGCTTCCTTGCCATCCCATATATAGTACCTATGCATCTCTGGTGAGATTGGGATCTGGACAAGATTTAACGGATTTCCTTCTGTCAATACGCGTTTTCTGCCCTTTGGCTGGTCATCGGCGGTATCGTTGGTTGGCATGCAAAAAGTGATTCTGATTTTGGTTGTACTTTTTCCTTCCACATGTTTATAGAGCTTCAGGGACATCTACGACGGAATGAACATATAGACTAGTTTCATCAAGCAAAATGTGCGTACTTTTTGGCGGCACATATTGTCCGACGATGACATCGCTTCGTATGAGCAGTGTCTATCCAAAAGAGCAAGAAGTAAACGACATTTTCAGTCCTCAAAGATCGCACAATAACACCATTCGCCCATAAATGACTCGAAAACACCCTTTGTATACCAGCTCAGATTGCTACTATTCGTCCCTTATCACAGCGCCGCGTTCGTCTTCTCTGTTGATTTTGTCAGTTTCTCGAAGACGATGGCATTTTAAAGAAGAAATCGTACCAGGCTGCTGGGTCAGCAGGAGGCCATATCTCCGCTTGAGGGTGACACGGTGTCTGTTCATTGGAGTTATAAGATTAGCCCAATCCCTTTCCTTTTTACACCGCAGGTATCGATCTATGACTCAAGACTCACCTGGAGTACTTGTCATCTGGCGAAAACCGGGCAGGATGGGCAGACTTGGTGACTTCGCCGTTCTGTCATTCGAATTCGTGGTTAGCGTAAGTCGTACACACCTAATGGTAAAGAAGCACTCACCAGGACCTTCTTGAGGGTGTACACCCTCTTGCCATCCTTGTCGAGAACATACTAGCAAACGACCCGTGTCAGAATAGTTCATCCTCTGCGCGATGAGACGGATGTCCGTTGTAACGTACCATAAGATGCATCCTGTTCACAGTCAGTCACTTAGAGACAATAGGAAAGAGAATTGCGGCAGGGGCGAGAAGAGTCAAACTCACTTGAATTTGGATTATTGAATAAGGCTAGAAAGCGGTTCTGATCGATAGCTGTCTCGACTGTATTCCCCTCGTGATAATTTGAATTGATAAAGTGGAGGATTTTTTTTTGTCGGAGAGTATGGAGCTCAGGCCAATGAGAGCTTGCTTAGTCATTCGGGTGCGCTTTTAATTGCGTCGACGCCGAACCGAATTTTTTGTTTTTCCTCTTCCCAACATCAAGCTCAACACATATCCAAATGGCAACGATAATATGATGATGATCATTGCTCATACTCGGATTCCAACATGATGTTGATGGAGTCCTTGGGTTAGCTGCAAGACTTTTGGCGAAAGCCTCATGATATCTACGTTGCCCTCCCACAACACTAGGTGTCCAGAAAATCCTCTTTTCTGGTAAGCAATAACTACTCGGGTCAGCACTAGAAGGGGTTGTATATCTGTTCTCTCCGGTGATGACACCATTTCAAGCTTAGGCAATGGCACTTTGATTTCTAGCTGTTGTCAGTGAATGCTTGTATTTGACTACAACGGTATCTGAGGAGAAGAACTTTGTTTCACCTGCTTTGTGTTGGCGAAGAGAATATGCGATAGAAAGCTTCGAGCTGACTCTTCGCTTTGTAGATAGAAATCTTAATTGATAGTATAATTGAATCAAAATTTCCGTTCATCATGGCCTCTTCCACATCAATCCCCAGTTCACCTGCCGAGCTCGCTGGATCTCCCACCAAATCCATGCCACACAATGCTCGCCCAGCTCATCGCTCCAGGCCTCCGAAGCCTAACTACAAGCACATCCACCGGTTTCCTCTTCCCCTCGATGTTCATCCTCTACCACCTCTCATTCCTCACAATCCTCTGTCTCTCATTAGCGTGGTGCTGTCTTACCTCACTTATTTTATCTCTCCACCTCACCGAGAAATCTATGCCGCCTACTTCGATTCTGCGACGTCCTCCGTCCATGTCACGGATGAAAAGGCCATTCAAGCCTTGTGGGAGATGGGGTTCTTTGGAAAGGGCACTTTAAGCCGAAGTCAGCCTAGTTGGCTGGAACGCGAGAAGAAACGGAGGGGATTACTCGGAGGCCAGACCAACGAGGAACTCACACGGCAGCGTAGAACAGAACGACGTGAACTGAAACTCGAGAGAGCGAGAATGGAAAAGGTAGCAATTGAGCAGAGATTGAAGGCCGAAGCTGCGGCACGTGAGAGTGGTGCTACTCCCGTCGACCAGACGACGGCGACCCTACTCACAGACGGTGCTCCTGGTGGCACAGCCGTTACACTCGAAAAGTTCTCTCTTCGGAAAGCAAGAGAAGCCAGAATGCTCGAGGCACAGCGTTCCAAGGAGCAGGGGAACAACGGCACTGCCTCCTCGTCTCCCGGGCAAGAGTCTCCCAGCAAGGCCGTTCGCTTTTCACCTGTTGTACAAGAGAAAGAATTTGCGTCAGATTCGGCAATTCTACGCCTTCCCGAGCCCGCTACAGAGGCTCAGGAGACATCACAGGAAGAGCTTTGCCTGAAAAACGAGGAGCACTTACAGTTATCAAACGAAGAGGCATTTTTCCTTGCATATGGGCTTGGGGTCCTTCATGTCTACGACCATCAGCAGAAGACCATTATTCCTCCTACATCTCTACTCTCTTTATTCTGTCACAACTCATACTACCCTCCACGTGATTCATCCACAGATCTGCAACCAGACGATCCTTTTATGATATCTTACATTGTCTACCATCACTTTCGATCCCTGGGCTGGGTCGTGCGTTCTGGGGTTAAATTTGGAGTGGATTATCTTCTGTACAACCGCGGCCCCGTGTTCTCCCACGCTGAGTTCGCGGTTGTAGTTATCCCTGCCTATGAGCACTCATACTGGTCTGAAACGCCAGAGAGGAGATCTTCTTGTGCCACGAGACAGGCACGAAGTTGGTGGTGGCTGCATTGCGTGAATAGAGTCCAGGCGCAAGTCAAGAAGAGCTTGGTGGTATGCTACGTGGAAGTTCCACCGCCACGATCTCATGATTCGAAAGATCACTCAGAGGACATCGGGGTTCTCCTTTCTCGATACAGGGTGCGGGAAATGCTAATCAGGCGGTGGGTTCCTAATCGCACGCGAGACTAACGTCGCCTCCGATACTGTCTCTATATCATTTGCTACATCATAGATAGCCTGTTAGGCTTTCAGTCGGCGAAGGGCGCTGCTCTTCGGTTGGCGAAGTGACCTACTGTAACAGTATTGTGAGAGGAGAAGGGAAGCGTCTTGTCGACACTGGACCGGTAATTTGGTTTCAATCAGAACTATCTTTACATAGGCACTCAATTTTGGCGAATCACAAGATCCTTGTGTAGCCTGGATTCACGATGTAGTAACTCTTCAGTGGAACATCTGTTGTAAATACGTTCTATTCCTAAATCGGTAATATTACTTCGACAGTCACGTGGGTTTCGCGTTTCGCGTTTCTCTGGTTCGGTCCATGTAGTAAGGATGATAAATGCTGATTGCACGTTTATATAGGATTTTATAACCCGATAGGCACAATAATGATTATTGTCTAGCATTCTAAGGTCTTATGGAGGGAATAAATCATGGAGACACAAGACGACAGCATCGACATTGTACAGCTGCAACGCGTCGCGCTGGGGCTAGTGAGTTGACACAGCTACTCAGTGGCGTTCCTGACCTTGTCCGTACTAACACCAATCATCATTCAAAAGGACCTTGCACCGTCCCAACTCCTGCTGGACGAATTGGAGACGATCGATTCTGTTCCTCTTAGGATATCTGATGATAAGAATCGCGAAGATAACCAAACTTCGGACTTTGATGCATCGTCCACTAACCGCGAAGTCGTTCGACAATCGCCGGCCAGGTCGATTTCTCGAGAAGAGCATGCTGCTGTACCCTTGAATGGCCGGAAACGGTTGTCCTGGTCTAAAGACGCCCCTGTCAGTCCTCTACCCGTTGGATATACCGCGAAGATGGGTTCCGCAGACGGTGTCCCTTCAGACACTCAGGTCGTTTCGCAGTCGGTGTTTGACGATATGATCAGACAAAACAAGGATGCTGCTAGAAATGCGTCCGACAGCAATATTGTGGAGCGTGCCACAATGATGACTTTTCACGAGGGTGACAGTGGCCATGTAGATTTGTTGTCTGGGTTCGAGAACACATGTCCCGATATCATCGATGCCGAGGACAATGAAGAGCAAAACAGCTCCAAGTTAGGAGAATCATCGCCCATGCACTACCAACCGAACCTATTTCCTGAATCTCAGCGGTTCTTGACAAGCACACCAGCGACAGCCTTCAAATTAGGCCAACCCGAGCCTTCCAATTCCGAGACCCCATGTGTTTCAAAGAATCCTCTTGCATCGGACATTCAATCGAGCGGCGGGATCATGGCACTGAGCCAGGTGTTCAAGGCAACACAGGCTCCGTCGTCTCCATTGGTTTATGGTCAGCAGCCCGACCTCATGTCCGACCGACCTTCTCCAAATCTCCCCATTCAAAATCATCCGCTAGCTACAGTGCTATCTTCTCCTCTGAACGCGCTCGCCGCAACCTTTCCGCAAGACCGCTCGGAGACACCAATGGGCTACATCAGTATGAAAGAGTCTCAGGCAAGACGTGACAGAATCCTGCAAGAAAGGATGACACGATCCGCGGAGCACATATATGCCGAGGACCAGAGCGACGGCGAGTTTGAAAAGGAACCTAGTTTTGTGGAGCGTATCATCCGCCAGAGAACGATCGATCAAGAAGCTTTGGCGCAGTTTGCTGGAGTGGCAGCCCCGGCAAGAGCGTCAAGCCGACGGCGAACCGGCGAAGAAACCACTTCTCCATCCAGCAAGTTGAAGCAACGAGATCAGGCTGATGCGCTGAAAAGCCCTGCCTCTTGTGTTGACACTCACACAATTGATACGGCACTTCAATCGGGTGCAATTAGTGAAGCCGAAACTGAACATGGTGGGGACTTGGCACGATCTCAACCTACTCAACAGGCTCCCAGTCTCTCCATCGATGAGGACAAGGAGAACTGTAATAATGATTCGGAACACTGTCTTCCTATTACAGCTTCTGCGCATGGCCGACTTTCTCAGGCACTCTCTCTACATGATGATTCATTGGCCCAGGAAAATATTCAACTGTCTCGCAGTCCTGACCGAAAAGCAAACGAGCCTAAAGCAATATCGGAAACCATGGTTGTGAAAGATTCTCAACAATCCCCTCGGCAAGAAGACCATGGGCACCACGATAAGGTCGTCACGAATAGTCCCTGGCATCACAGCGAACGGCCTCGTTCCCGGGTCCGACACCATGGTGATCCCTCAGACCGGGATAGGGTTATTTCATCCCCCACAAGGCCTTTAGCATTGCGCTCGTCTCCCCCTCCTCCGGAGTGTGAACAAGACCAAGTGCTACACCCGGCCCATCTTAACAGCGCAACGATGCGTAGTCGGTCAAGCTCAGTGAGCTGTCACGACTCCTCCTGTCAGCTTCCAAGGGACGCATCCTCAGCCCAGGAAGTCGCGACAACGCGATCTAGCAATTCTGTTGGCCGAAAGACCAAGGGAACCGAACCCAAGAGTGCAAGAGTAGATCCTCGTGAAAAGCCCTCCTCCATGCCCTCTCGCGTGGCTGAAACACCTGTACCCCAACGTCCGAGGGGCTTCGGTGATATAATCCCAACAACGAGCGTTCCTGAGTCTAGTCCAAACACAATACACAATCAGAGCTGGGCAGAGGATGCGGATAATGACCCTATGGATCAAGAGGATGATGACCTGCCCCCTGCTTATCCCACTGAGCAAGTGCGCGTCAGTCACTCTCAGCCACTTGTCCCTGAGAGTTCGACCCCAATTCGACCTTTCCGCACTGCCAAAATACTCTCGAGTCCAAGTGGGAGACAGCGCAGGGCGCTAACAGAGATAGCTGCCGATGCTTCGCCTCAGGCTGGAACTGCTCTCGTCGATGTTGACATTGGCATTCTCACAGCCGATGATAAGGAATTTAGTTCCGTGGTCTCTACGTCCCCGATCCCACCGAGGAAAAAGCGACGTGGAAATGGGCAGAACGTATATGCATCTGATCCGATATTACCTTTCACGCCTCGTATCACTTCTCAGCGTGCTCAATCTCAAAATGGCGAGAAGACCACGGTACAGAGTTTGCAAACTGACGAGTCTTTGGACAAGTCTGAATCGAGCTTCCTAAAAAGATCAAGATCTTCCAAGCGAATGGGGACAGTATGGGAGGTGGAGGATACTCCTCAATATCACGTTTCCCGGAAAGAAAGGTTGAAAACCCTTCCTCGCCCTCGTGCTGAGGCGGGCTCAGGGCCTCGCCCATCGGAACCGGCAGAGGATATGAATGTGCATGCTGGGGAGAAAGTGGATCTCTGTCAGGGAAGCCTTGAAGTTCCACAAGATAAAGGAGAGAAAATGAAGGATAAGTCCCCAGAGCCAATGCGCAATGATGCCTCCGATCTAGCCAGTTCGATTCACGGAAATACCTCTCCGATCGCGCTGAATCAAGTCATTGCTCCCTGGAGTGGCCAGAAACGGGCATATTACCCTGCAACTTGTGTCGGCAAGCCACCCGGCATCTCGCAGTCGCGAGTCTTGGTCAAGTTTGAAGATAGCGTTCCCCTTGAAGTGCCGATGGGCGCTGTCAAACGACTGGAATTGAGAATCGGTGATGCTGTCAAGGTTGACATGCCCAATGTCCCCAAAGTGACACATATCATTCGCGGCTTTGAGGATAGGGTTAGCGCTGAGGACATCACAAAGGCTGCCTCTGACGGAGACCTTCCGATCACCGATGTATACGGTTATACTACTTTGTTACTCGGACCAAAACAACGCAAGAGCCTTCCGACCGGTGGGCTGACGGGGCCTGACAATCTCATCAAGGTTCCCGTATCGCGGATCTATTTGGACACGATCTTGTGGAATCAGCTCAAAGATCGAGCTTTCACCTATAGTTCGGGAGCTACGCATTCCGAAAGCAGGCTCCAAACGCCTTCTGACAGGTATTCCACGCCAGCATCTCCGGGTTCACGGCTACCGCGAAGCATTCGCTTGTTGAACGGTATTTTCGCGGGCATGGTGTTCGCTGTCTCCTACGGTGATAATGACGAAGCCAAATCTCGTATCACAAAGATGATCCAGGACAATGATGGGAGCATCCTGAAGGACGGCTTCAATGAGCTCTTTGAGTTGCCTTCGCACGCACCGCTTACGACTCCGACAAAATCACCAGCGTCAGGTGCGAACTGCGACAATGGGCAGTTCCGTCTGGCACCTAATGCTGAAGAAGTGGGATTCGCTTGCCTCATTGCCGATAAGCATTCTCGCCGCCCGAAGTACATGCAGGCGCTGGCCTTGAATATACCTTGTCTATCAGACCGCTGGATTGAGGACTGCGTTGCCCAAAACCGAATCCTGGATTGGGAAATATATTTGCTCCCTTCGGGCGAATCTATATATCTCAATGGAGCAACGAAATCGAGGTTCTTGGCTCCGTATCCGGCTACAACAGCGCGACTACCGGATACTATTGCAGCTCGCCCCAACTTACTCAAGGACCAGTCTGTGTTGCTTGTCATGGGTCGCGGTGGGCGGTCAGATGAAGAAAGAAGAAAGGCATACATTTTCCTCACGTACGCCTTGGGTGCTTCTAGAGTTGAGCGTGTGCCTGACCTCAAGTCGGCGAGAGCAAGCCTGGACCAACAGGCTGCTGCAGGCACTGGATGCACCTGGGATTGGATCTACGTCGACGGCGATGAGATGGCATCGGCAAAGGCCACGATTCTTGGTCCCTCAATGCCCGGTCCACTCAAGTCTCAGTCATTTAAAGGTGCGAAGAAACGCAAAAGAACTGAGCTGGTCGAGTCTATCGATGGCAGCGATATTGGCTTGAGTACCAATGTCAGAATAGTGGGCAATGAGTTTGTTTGTCAGAGTCTAATACTCGGGAGGCTGTTCGGGTAGTGATGTCTCCCTCTTTCCTTCCTTGACGGCCTTTCCGTGCCGTCCTATCTTGTTATGTCGCCAGGGGTTTTGTGCATCATCTGCATCGGAAGTTGAAGTTTTGTTTGGTTAATGGTTGGAGTGAGCCGCCAATGCTCTAGACTTGTACAGATACCCCTGCATTTTTTGCTATACTTCTCCAAACGCGTGTTTCTTGGCACAGCATCTACTTCTCGCTCTTTGGAACAACCAGATTAGAGAGCATACACAATCCAGGTTTATAATTCTGATCCTGTCTGCTACCGAAGACTCGGACACTTAGGTAATTTGGTCCATGTGACAATCTATAATACAAGAAACACCTTAAAGCCCCGCGAATGAGTCATACAAAGAGCTCTGATAATATGTTGCTGAAGATAAGAGAACTTATCGATCAACTAACGGCCACCCTTGCCCTTCTTCGCGGCCTTCTTCTTGCTCTTAAGGCTCTTCATCTGGGCAGCACGATCGGCTCTAGCCTGCCTCTTTCTCCAGGCCAGCCAGCGGTTCTTGCGCCTATAGGGCTTGGCGGTGATGCCGGCCATCTCAGCAGCGCGACCAATCTGCCAGTTCGCCTCACGGTACATGTATCCAGGACGCAGCTGGGGGCCTGTGGCGGCATTGGCGGCCTCCACGCTGGAGACCATCGTGCCCTCTTCAATAGTTGCGACCAAATCTGACTGAGCAACGACTTCGGGGCCATCAGGGATGCGAGGGACAGCGATCCTGTTCAACTTCCGTCTCGTCGGGGCGTTCCGCGGTGTGGGCAGCTTTCCTTCTTTCTCGAAGCAGACACCAATGTACTTCCGGTCCGGATGCCGCTCCGGATCGAGGTAATATCTCACATAGCCAGCCTCTGTGGCATAGATGGTGTGGTCTCTGCCCATCGCACAGTTCTCGCCGGGGAACCACTTCGTTCCGCGCTGTCGGAAGATAATGCAGCCGGGGACAACATATTCACCACCGGTTTTCTTCGCGCCGAGCCGCTTCCCAGCAGGATCACGGGAGTGTCGATTGGCAGTACCCTGGGTGGCGTGAGAGGCGTGACGGACATGAGAGAGAGGGAGGAGGAATTTTGAGATCGGAGACGGTGCGGAGATGGGGGTTCGTTGGAAGAGTACCGAAGATCGAGGCGGGTGGTGTATCGCCTGCGACGAGCGGAGTGAAGAAGCAAATGTGCGTTCGAGCGCCCGGAAGGGCGCTAACAATCTGGGTTGTAACATTGTGGTCTACACGGAAAGTGGTGTCACTCCAATGCCCAACCGGCGAGGACTGCGGAAGCTCATCACAGTTGGAAATCCGCGACTTTTTCCAACAATCTTGGCGTCGAGTCACGTGTCATTGAGATAGCTGGCTTCAAGGGACGATGGTTTGTTGTCGACTAAGCTATCAATTACTGAATCTTTTATATTTCATTTCCTCTCCATATAGGCCAACTATTTCTTTATAATACAGTAACGAACACCATGCTTTCTAGCTGGGTTAGATGCCTTGGGGCTCTGCTCCTCCTGGCCTCCGTCGCTCAGGCGCAATTCCAGTTCTTCGAGCACATGTTTGGTGGTCATCAAGAACACCATCAACAGAACACACAAAATTCTGCCAGCGATAGTGGAAGATACCAACAGCTATGGGAAGGAAGTGAGTTATCGCGCAGGATCTTGCCTCTCAATCAAAAAAAGTGGACAAAATAGCTAACGCCTTCATTGCGCCGCTACCAGCCAACTGCAACAAATACCTCTGTCCGGGGACCCTCGCATGCGTTGACTTTCCTCATCATTGTCCATGTGCGCATCCAAGTGTCGAAGATAAAGTTGAATTGGGCGAAGGAAGTGCTGTCTGCATCTCGAAAGGAGGCTACAAGCCTGGGGAGGCGGCGCGGAAGATTGAGTTGGCTCGGAAAGGTTTATTGTAATCATACGAATCGAGTAGGGCATCAACAGCACGCGAAAAGTTGGTCTTTGAGCGAGACTTGTGCTGTACGTATATTCAATCTCAATTCAAGCGTTCTCAGCCATTCGGTTCACCGGCTCTGATGTAGAACTGTGATGCGCTCGGTCGGTACGGATTACTGCGACACAATCCGGTCTCGCGAGAACAATAAATTGTGTCCCTACAAAATTGGAATGCGTCTCAGACTGATCAGGCCTGGTAGAATTCATGACAGGTTCAAGGGTATAACAATGACACTTGTTTACTTTGCACCTTTTCTGGTTTGTTCTGCGTGGCCTCTTATCTCCGCTTAATCCCGTGCGGTACAAGAGTACAATGGAAGTTCGTCATTCCTCTTTGCTCCGCCACAGCTCGACATTTTCTTCCACCACCTCGAGAGCTAGACTACCAGAGGTGTTCGTCTTCATTTGCGGAAGTTACAGACAGCTCTACTTAGCCCTCAAGAAACCCACATACGTGAAGTCTATTCATTCAGACCCCTCGAGTGACCACCTTTATGTGGAGCTCAAAACTACGAACATCCCTCGCAGGGTCGGTGGCAGCGCCTGGCCGTGCTTTCGCGAGCTCATTCACAAGAGGACGTCGGAGCCCTCGAGTTCCTCGAGATGTGACACGGAGATTAAGGCCTGTAGCACATAACAGAGGAGCACTCTCCCCACAACAATTTGAACAAACAACTGCGGAACCGAACAGGCCAACTCCGAACTACGACCCAGCCCAGAACACCTTACTTTCTCCCGTTCATATACCAGAAGATCCCAATGGCGTGCTCAAAGAGACACATCCAGCCATGGGGATATTGGCAAATTCCGGTTTGGTTATACAAAGACAGCTTGAGTTGATGAATGTGATGATGTATGCAGCCTCATATACCGCAGGGAAAAGGTCATGTCAAAGTCAAAGCTAACTAGCGATTCACAGCGGATTCGAACAAGCGAATAAATACGTCATCATGGATGCAAATGGAAACCATATCGGGTACATGGCCGAACAAGAGAAGGGCATGGCGAATATGATGGCGCGACAGTGGTTTCGAACACACCGGAGTTTTGTAACGCATGTGTTTGATCGGCATGAAAACGAGGTGCTTCGAGTATGTCTATATCCGTCTGTGAAATTAGACCGGAAATGGATTTTCTAACTCTTTTCAGTTCCACCGCCCCTTCTCTTGGATTAACTCTCGCATTCGGGTGTACGACCCTCTTGATGTTGCCAAAAACGCCTTCTCAACTTCAACCGCAGTCCAGACTGCATCTTCGGGGTCACTTGTCGAAGCTACGGGGGGCTCAAATGCACGCGTCTCGCCTTTGGGATTAGAGGATATGCGTGTCATTGGAGAAGCACAGCAGCAGTGGGCGCCGTTGCGGCGGAAATACAACCTTTTCACCTATCATCACTCCCCTCTTGGCGCCACAGAGATGGGAACTCAGAGATTACCTCTTTCGCAAACGGGGTTATCAAACTCGCAGCAGATGCAATTGACTCAGACAAGTGACAGCGGTCAAGATGTTGGGGAATACCATCAATTCGCCTATGTCGATGAGCCCTTCCTGTCATGGGATTTCTCTCTACGCTCGGCAGATAACCGACTCATTGGTTCAGTCAATCGGAATTTCGTTGGCTTTGCGCGGGAATTGTTCACAGACACAGGTGTCTATGCTCTTCGCATGGATTCTGCCGCCCTTGGTCCCGAGGATTTGACCACACAAGCGAACGTGCCAACTGGAATGACGCTGGATCAACGGGCAGTAATGCTTGCCACTGCGGTTAGCATTGACTTCGATTACTTTAGTCGCCACAGTGGTGCTGGCGGTTTTGGTTTCATGCCCATCTGGTTCCCCGGCATTGGCGGAGAGGCCGCTGCAGGTGGTGCTGCTGCCGGTGGTGCCGCTGCTGGCGAAGCTGGAGCTGTAGGTGAGGCGGCCGCGGGCACCATTGGCAGGGCTGGCGCCGCTGGAGGAATTGCTGAAGGTGCTGCTGCAGGAGCTGCTGGTGCGGGTGCGATGGCTGGTTACGATGCGTTGTCAAGAGGCATGGCAGGGGAAAGCAATCCACAGCATCCTCCCCCGCCCGAGCAGCAGCCATACTCGGCAGACCAGCAATCATCGGTTCCCGGTCAAGCAGGTCCCTACGGGGATGTATGGGCCGAGGAGCAAGAGGATCCTTTTGCTCGCGCGCCTGAGGATCCCTGGAACATCGAGGAGCCAGATGATGAGGGTGAAGAAGGGGACAATGACTGGTTTTGATGATTGCGATAAGATTATACCCCTGGCATATGTTGTACCTGCTTATTTCTGTTGGTTCTCATGAACAATGAGAACTCTCGAAATCATTCTCCGTATAGATTATTGAGCGCCCGATGTACATTAAAATGTATTATAAGTAGATATTATTTCAATGTGAGACTGTCAAGCCATTCTTACCAAGCTTGTCCTTTCATTACTTATAGTATCAGCGCCTTATATTAAACTTTTATGATCGGTCTTCTGTCCTTGCGGGCCGATCCTCGGGGAAAGCCACAGTAAATCTTGCCGGGTGGCAACTGGCAAACCCCGTTTCCATTTCCGTTGTCAGCTATAGAGTACTTGGACCAATATCCTCCGGCAGCATCCTCCATCCTTGCACTGATCCTCCATCTCTAGACCGTCCTTCTACTCTTTACAGGCTTAGCTTCCACTAGGAGTTATTCAGACCGCGTCCACATTTGGGGAATCGGGATTTAAGAACCCCACATCGATCACCACTTCTCCGCAGCCCACATACACGGCTTCGGCTATTCTACAAACTCAACGCTTTTTCCTTCTCTTTTTCGCTACGCCTGCTAAGTTGCTCGTTCGCTTTCCTCCGATCTTACGATCTTCGGTTACACAATGTCGTCCGTCGCACAGAAACGTCTCTTTCACGAGTATAAGAACTTGTCAACGAACCCTCCCGAGGGCATCACTGCCGGCCCAGTCAGCGAGGATGATATGTTTCACTGGGAGGCCTTGATTCAAGGTCCTGAGGGTACACCGTACGAAGGAGGAGTGTTTGCAGCAGAGCTCAAGTTTCCCAAAGATTACCCGCTGAGTCCGCCAACAATGAAATTTGTCGGTGGTGGGGTTTGGCATCCGAATGGTGAGAAATAACTTAGCTCTTCTCCCTTTTCACTCAACATCACGTCCAGGCGGTGGCTGACAGGTCCTCCTAACAGTCTATCCCAACGGAACCGTCTGCATATCCATTCTCCATCCTCCCGGCGATGATCCGAACCATTACGAGCATGCATCCGAGCGGTGGTCGCCCATTCAGAGTGTGGAGAAAATCCTAATCTCTGTCATGAGCATGCTGGCAGAACCCAACGACGAAAGTCCGGCCAACGTCGAGGCGGCAAAAATGTGGAGAGAACGCAGAAGCGAGTATGAGCGGAAGGTCCGTGATGAGGTCAGGAAAGGCCTGGGTCTGTAGGGAACGACATGCGGACGCGCTGGATGGATATATAAGGTATTTATTCCTGGGGCTGTACATTAGCTGTGAGCCATACTCAAGCTACAAGATTGTCTACATGTGGCACTTCTAGCATCGAAGCTGGCGTGGTTATGAGATTGGGTCGGATAAATGGCGTTTCTGGTGTGTTCGCAATGTCTGAATTTTTTTGGATCTTTTATATCACTCAGCATGTCGCTTTCGGCTTCATATTCGTTCTTATTGTGTAACAGGTTGACGCGGAATAGACCTCTTGTTTCCCCATCAATTGTCAATCGAAAACCTGATAATTTCCGCTGCGAAGCGACCATCCATTGTCCCGTTGTATCAGCTTGGAGTGGTCATCTTCTTATCGATCCACCCTTCAAGTCCTTCCTGCCGATCGTAGAGGATCTCAATCTCCGCCTTCAGGTTCAACATGAGCATCTGCTGCAGCTCTGCGCGCCATTCCTGCTCTGGCCCATCTTCTGCCCACACCGGATTGTTCGCGAGCATTGTAATAGCCTTCTTTCTATCCCTCGGGCTCAGGCGAATGAAAGCCTCGTCACCGAAAGAGTCTGCACCTCCAATGACGTCTGATGTTCGGAGTCCCAGCCAGCGAAGCTTGGAAACGTTGAGCTTCTCGTTGTCGCGCGCATGCGCCATCGAGCCATATTTATAAGTTGACATGATTGCCATGCCATCAGGATCACTGTCAACGAGAGCGTAAAAGCGCGGGGCTTCCTCTGCGGCGAGATGTCTAGTCTCATCAAGCAATCTTCGAACAAAGGCTCGCGTGCTGAGGTCTGGATAGCCTTTGCCCTGTATTTCACCGTCAATTGCTGCGCCGTGTTCCAACCTTGAAAAACTCACTGTTACCAATACACCTTTTCCTGCAGCTGCTCTAGTGTGGTAGCTGCTTCTCGAGAGCCGACGATAAACTGCCTGGGAATGAGATGTTATCACACTGCGCAGCGGGAGATACGTGGTGATATGTCCTCTCTTACTTCTTTTTCCAGGATCAAGACCCATTTCACCTCGGAGGTATCGATTGCTTCAATGTCTTCCGTGTTCGGTATCAGGACATCCTAGCTCATCTCATCGTCATCATTTATCCTGGGAGAAACGTGGAAATTGAACTACCTTGGTTGATAGGCGAGCGTCCACTACTTCACCAGCTTTGGTCATCAGACGATAATATCCTGCAACAAGCCCTTTGGCTACCGCGTCCTGCGCCATCTGATGTTAGCTGAATATTCGAGTCAAAGAGTCGATCTGGATGTATTACCACGTTCAACGCCGCTCTATCAACCCCAATTGTATGAGCAATATCATCAATTATCGCATCAACGATTTGCTGAGAACCGAAACAAGCTGGATCGCTGTAATATATGTCTCTGTTGCCTCAATCAGCCAGCGCTCGAGGCTTACCTTAATTCAGAGAATTGAAACCTTTTGGAAACTACCAGACCAGCTTGAATTGCCTCCGCGATAACTGCTATTCCTCGGACGATGGCAGCTAACAACTTTAGTTTGATCCAGATTTCCAAAGAAGAAGTTCCCTACTAAATTTCCAAGCCTCATAAGCATTCCTACCCGGCCAGCTGTAGGATGATAGTATTTCTTTCTCCTCGGTCTCTAGAGCAAGGTTTTCGGGATTTATGGAAAAGGAAACTCCTCTGAATCTCCGTTTCAATGTCAGGGTTGGTCGACCGTCTGGCGTTCGTAGCTCATCGAGGATCTCTATGAGTGCATTGTTAATGAACGTCTGAACTCGCTCTTTCTGGGGCTGCTCCTGACTCGTGAACAGCCTAGCTGAGCTTGATTCAGCATTGTCCGGTGCAGTCTCCATTGCTAGCGGTTAGCTCATGGTCGTATTCTATGTTTGTCGATACATTGAGAAAGGTCGATGGACAAGAGTCAAGTGACTATGTAGTCGAAGCAGCAGTGAACGGACTCGGGGAGGTCATATCCTCTAGTAAGTTCAGAAGTCTCTATGATGCCATGATAATTCCCGATATATCAAGTCTATCTGGGCTGCTTCAACGTAAATTCAATTCTTTCAGAGTCGAAGAACTATATTTCTTGCCTCCAGCCACCATCTAGTCTATAGCTTAGACCAGAATAAAAATATACTCAACAACGCTATCAACAAACCAACTTCTACTCACTTTAGTCTGTCCACCAAGGCGCTAATTTCTGTCTGTCCATAGTTTTCATCCTTAATATACATATTGAGCAATGATTTCCTGTAAATGTGTTGCCTGATGCGTATAGTTAAGTTGTGCCCCTGATGACTAAGCACGTGCATATCAACATTCCGGATCTACATGTGATCTGCTCTTAATTATGGGTGCTCTTTTTTTCATTATTTCCCCTGTTCATCATTCGCACATTCATCAGTTGACCAAGTAATAAAATAGACCTCAGCTTTTACGGTATATTTCGGAATTTGGAGTTCTCCGAACCAGATAATGACGGGAGGCCCAATTGCCTCGTGGAGAACTGCAGCTCAGGGTCACTTGAGTCCTGACGAGAACGGAGACCTCAAAACAGACTATTCAAGATGGAGATTGTTAGATGATCGGGGCCGTCAGACCTGGCATTATTTGGAATCCGATGAAGAAAATGAGAAATGGCCTCAATCTGTCGCTGACAAGCATTTTCTGGGACTCCCTACGGTAACACCTCTCGCCCCTGCCGCCACGAACCGCATGTTTGCCATACACATAACTGACTATTCTACCACAGGGACTTCCAGACCTGCCGAAAGCAAAAACTCCACTGCAATGTGCCGAGAATGGCTTGGAATTTTTCTCCAAATTGCAACTTCCTCCAGGCAATTGGGCCTGTGAGTACGGAGGCCCAATGTTCTTGCTCCCAGGCCTCATAATCACGTACTACGTGACCAACACTCCGATCCCGCCGGAGTATGCGACTGAGATTAAAAGGTATCTCTTTGCTCGTCAGCACCCGGAGGACGGCGGCTGGGGCTTGCATATTGAGGCACATAGCTCTGTCTTTGGTACTTGCATGAACTACGTGGCGCTGCGCTTGATCGGTGTCAGCGAAGACGACCCTCGTATGATCAAAGCCCGCGGACTCTTACATAAGTTCGGCGGTGCCCTATATGGGCCTCACTGGGCGAAAGCTTGGCTCAGTGTTCTCGGTGTCATGGAATGGGACTGCGTCAATCCTGTCCCGCCTGAGCTTTGGTACGTTCCATTACATCTGCACATTCTCTTGTAAAATATCAACAAGAGCCTAACAATGGTATAGGCTGCTTCCGGATTGGGTTCCCTTTGCACCTTGGCGGTGGTGGATCCATATACGTCAAGTGTTCTTGCCAATGTCGTACCTATGGTCCAAAAAATTCACCCATCCTCTGGACCCGCTCACGAAACAGTTACGTCAGGAGCTGTACACTCAGCCTTACGACTCTATCGACTTTGCAAGTCACCGGAACTCGATCCATGAAGCCGATAATTACTATCCCAAGACATGGCTTTTAAACCTGATCAACCAACTTCTCGTCTCTGTGTGGAACCCCTACCTCCGAATTTCTGCGTTGGTAAAACGCGCAGAGGACTGGACCTGGGAGTTGATTAGAATGGAAGATGAGAATACGGACTATGCAGGCCTGGGCCCTGTGAGCAACCCGATGAACATGGTAGCTTGCTATCTCCATGATGGACCAGACAGCTATTCAGTTCGGCGCCATCGTGAGCGTCTGAATGATTACATGTGGATGAAGAACGAAGGCATGCTGATGAATGGAACAAACGGAGTCCAAGTGTGGGATACCGCTTTCATCACGCAAGCAATTGTCGTTGCCGGTTTCGCAGATGACCCCAAGTGGCGACCAATGCTCACCAAAGCCTTGGAATTCCTTGAAGATCATCAGCTTCGGGAGAACGTCCCAGATCAAGAAAAGTGTTACCGTCAACACCGAAAAGGCGCGTGGCCGTTCAGTAACAAGACACAAGGCTATACAGTTAGTGATTGCACAGCGGAGGGCTTGCGGTCCACAATCCAACTACAGGAGATGCACAACTATCCAAAGCTGATCTCCGTGGAGCGGCTAAAAGACAGTGTCGACTGCTTACTTCTGATGCAAAATCCCTCTGGTGGATTCACTGAGTACGAAACCACCCGTGGCTCCGAGAAGCTGGAGTGGCTCAATGCTGCGGAGGTGTTTGGCGGAATCATGATCGGTTATGACTATCCCGAATGTACCACCGCTTCTGTCACCGCGCTTTCGCTTTTCAGCAGATTTTACCCTGACTACCGGGCCGACGAGATCAAGGCCGCGAAAGACAAGGCTGTGAAATATATCAAGCGCGTGCAGAGACCGGATGGAAGCTGGTACGGATCTTGGGGAATCTGCTTCACCTACGCTGCCATGTTTGCCCTGGAAAGCCTGGCTAGTATTGGGGAAACCTACGAGACCAGTGAGAATGCGCGCCGTGGCTGCGAGTTCCTCCTCTCCAAGCAAAAGGAGGACGGAGGATGGGGTGAATCTTATCTCAGCAGTGAAAAGCATGTGTACGTTCAACATGAAAAGTCTCAAGTAACGCAAACTGCTTGGGCTTGTCTTGCACTAATGGAGGCGGAATATCCACACAAGGAGCCACTGCAGAAAGCCATGAAGCTGCTCATGTCCCGGCAGCAACCAAACGGGGAGTGGTTGCAAGAATCCATTGAGGGCGTTTTCAACCAATCTTGGTACGTATCTCTGTTTGCAAAACTCATTCTCCCTGTCAATAGCTGACCCAGGTCTAGCATGATTTCGTACCCCAACTACAAGTTCTACTGGCCCATTCGAGCTCTGGGTCTTTATAGCCGCAAGTTCGGCAACGAAGAACTGATGTGAGGCGTATTTGAGCCATGCCTTCAGGACGAATCCTTCATACGCCTGGCTGTCTCCAGGGTGTACCATATATACCATATACGACATACTGTCTAATGAATCAGCAATGATTGCTGTCTGTATTAAAGTGGAATGCTTAGCCTAATAATAATAATAATACCTACCTTATAATACCAAGCGGATTTGTATGGATGAGTTGCCTGATTGGGCTAATGCCATCACGTGTGCTCCCCGCAGTCTCCAAAGAAAGTCATAGAACCAACAAGCTACCGAGAAAGAGCTATGGATAAGCTGTGCTCTTTTCATTTTTCAAAGGGTGAGCTCCCTTATACGAGAATATTTCCATATAGTCAATTTCCGGTCACCAGCTGAGGCGACCTCTAGTGCCTACTCAGAAATAACGTTCGACAGCATAGCCGTCTTCTAAGCTAAGTGCGGGGAATCTTCAAAGCGAGAATAATAGCAATAGCTTTAGACGAACAACAGAATGAACGCGGCGGCAGAGGGCGACAAGGCCCTGGCCAACTCTGACTGTCCCACTGCGATTCGGTACTTCACCCAAGCCCTGACGGAGCTTCCCCGCGCCCCAGCCTACTATATCAAGAGGTCCACTGCCTTTTCGCGGCTTAAGGCCGCAGACGGAGGACCCAACTTCCACGCTGCGCTTCTAGATGCTGAAATCGCGCTTACGCTTGCCCGAGAACGAGCGAAACGCGAGCTTATACTGTCTGCGCAAATGAGACGCGGCATCGTCCTGTATCAGCTTGAGCGATACGGCGACGCAGCCTTCGTGTTCAGCACCCTCCAGGATAAGATTGGCACAAGTACAGAAGGTCAAGATAGATCGGAGAAAGTGAAGGATGCAATGGCTGGTGGTGCTACACGTTCCTCTGCCAAGAAAGGCTATGAGCAGGAACTTCCCATTTGGACATTGAAAGTGAAGGGAAAGCTGAGCAAGCTGGCCGAGGGCGACGAGAAAGCAAGGGTCACCATTGAGGAGTTTCCCAAGGGCGTGTCCATTCCATCTGAAAAGGATCTCAAGAAGCAGCTCGATGCTTTCAAGGCTGGTAAAGTCGAGGAGGGAAGTACTCAGGCACAGACCACCTCGTCGGACGACAAGACTACAGATTCTACGAAAACAAGTACTCGCACAGCAGAGAGCCAGGCCACAATAGGCAACGCTCCACCCGCGATGTCCACCACTTCACCATCCACTGGTCCCTCAACAGAAAAGGTTCGGCATGAGTGGTATCAGTCTCATGACTCCGTTGTCGTGACCCTTTATGTTAAGGGAGTGCCCAAGGACAGCGTTGACACCGAGCTTAAGGATGAATCGGTATGTGGAATTAAGTAGACCTTTCTTTCTAACCCAAATCTCGTGCTGTTGATCCGGAGCTGACTGTTAAATGTCACAGGCTGCCATTCAATTCCCGCTCCCGTCTGGCGCGGACTACGCTTTTACCTTGGATCCTCTGTTCGCACCGATTGATCCATCCGCATCAAAGGTTTCCGTGATGTCAACAAAGATTGAACTTGTCCTACGCAAAAAGACAGCGGGCCAGAAATGGGGCGCCTTGGAAGCGTCGTCGTCAAGCGCCAAACTTGCTGATCGACAAGCGATTGTAGGAGCAGCCCCCGCAGCCGAAAGCGGGCCTTCCTACCCAACTTCCTCTCGCCGCGGCGCTAAGGATTGGGATAAAGTCGCATCAACACTGACAGCCAAGAAGTCGAAAGGCAAGGATAAGGAGCGGAACGCGGAAAAAGATGCAAAAGCTGGTGAGGACAATGGCGATGAATCCGATGGTGCAGATTCCATCGACTCTGACTACGGCACCGGCGATCCAGTGGATGCTTTCTTTAAGAAATTGTATGCCAACGCGGACCCGGACACCCGTCGGGCCATGGTGAAGAGTTACGTGGAGAGCCAGGGCACATCTTTGAGTACCAACTGGAAGGAAGTGAGCCAAGGCAAAGTGGAAGCACGGCCACCCAGTGACTAGGTCGATTAAGCTCACAGCTAGGGTTAATTCGCCTAATTCATGCTTCCAGTAGACTATCTGGGAGGGGAAAGCGTTGACAGCATTACGATTGGGTACGCATTGCATCTAGCGGGTGTTTTGCTTCGGGTGTCGTTCCTTACTATCAAAATCTATCGCATGGCTATAATATGAAGAAGAGATACCTTTCTAACGAGTTTTATGACAATATTCTCTTCTTTCTCACATATATCTTGCGAACAGAGTATCATATCAGTAAACCAACCAGCGGAACCCCTAGGAAGAACTCCACACTAAGCGCCTTTTTGGATCCATCTCTGACTTGTATCGCTAACAGTCGCCCAATCAGTCACGGGCACTGATCTCATCTATCTCGTCTCCGTTTTCTTTGTACAAGAAAAATTGAATGAAAATACACATATCAAGCAATAGAGTTCCAAAGCTCCCTATCAACCACGACAGATTAACAAGCACATATCGGCCGTAGAGCGCAGCGGCTTCTCCGGGGCGACAGCCGTGAGAGTGGCGAGAGTGTCGCTTGCAGACTGGGGAATAAGCCAGGATAGACAGTACGTAGGTCAGGTTGCCGATACATGCGAAGAGGAAAAAGAGTAGTGAAACCCCTTCCGTGGATTTGCGCCGGTAATTGAGAAGAATCTGGGGCAGACGTGACCCAAGGTACAGGGCGGCGCATAGATAGCCAAATACCTGGCCCAGGGTGTCGAAAGTAAGAGAGGATGAATCGCTGTCATTTCCAGGCAAGTCTGATTCTTCGTTCTTGGAAGAGCTAGGGCTGACATACCAGCCCAGGACTCCTGCAGCGCAGACAAGTGCAATGGTAGTCAAGTTAAAAAGGACAGTCTGAAGAGTGGAAACGCGTCGAGCAGACAAAGATTTCTTAGAAGGCGGTTCAATGAAGGGTGTTGCGGGAGACAGATGTGTGCCGTCGACGTTCGGATGGATAATCTCCCGAAAGGATGTTGCAGAGTGTCGCCGATGGTCCGAATGCGATGGTAACGGCCGCACTTGTGTAGTTGTTGCTGCTGGGCCCGCCTGGCCTGACTGATAGTGAGGCTCTTGCGCTTGGACGTGATGTGAGTGGCCGTTAGACTTGGGAGGAAGTAGAGAGGTATGCTCGGTTGCCTTTCTAATCTGCGAAGGCTCATCTTCAGTGTTGATCTCTGCGGGAGAAGTGGGACTAGACGGTTCATCCCGCAGCGTGAATCCCCGGTAGTAGAAGCATTGGCCCAAAAGAACAATGTCTGCGAGGGTGTAGTAGACGGCGAGGATGATCATTGTAGGTAGCACGCCCTGAAGGACGGCACCAAGGATGTTGAAAACATCCCCTGCTAGCCAGACCACGAGAAAGAGTAAAGAGAGTCCATCAGCAGAGCCACGACGGAAATTCTCAATGATCTGCGGTGAGAAAACCACGACCCAGCAGGCAATGGAAATTGACCTATATGCGCCAGTCAGTAATCACTGTAAGGACACTAGTTTCTTCTCGACGTCGTCCCTCCCCCACCAATCCTCTCGTCTTGTTACAAAGAGAAAGCGAAGAGCTTAGAATCATACCCGCAAATACCGCTTAGAGCATCTAGATCTAGATTGCCAGCCTGGGAGGGAAACATGTCCGAAGAGGACGAAACAGACGAATTGGACCAAAATCCAATTCGCTCAGACGACTCGAGAACTTCTTATAAAGAAGAGGAAATGTTATCTGCACGCCGAATTCGAAAATTATCTGGGAATGAAGGTGTGACGTCGCGAAGACTCTGCTCTGAATCAGTCACGTGCCAAAATCCGGGGAAATTCAGACCCATACTATGTTCTCTAGACCAGACGTTGGACTTACTCTTGTAAAAGCTTGCTTTCCAATAATATATCTACAAATCCATATTCACCTCCGTCTAGAGACATCAAGCTCTCTCATTTTCTGTCAATTCGCAAGCAAAAGCTTTGACGCCAGCTCGCACACTCACTGGACAAAATCTCATCATGTGACATCAAGATTAGTCATTATGGAGATCTTATGTTACATCATATCATATTCACGGGCCTACCATAATAAAGCTATCCAGTTCCCGTGAAAGTAAACCTCCGCATACTTCCCTGAGCCTTTTGGATAACTTACGATCGCTTCGATCTCCGTAGCTTCCTTCAGCCAACAATGCGTCTTCAATGACGAAACCCTCGATCCGTATACCGTTGACCGGTCCGCTGCCTCCACCGATTATTGTACCACCATCTGCAAGCACACTTTCAGGAGCGATCGATGCCGTCTTATCATTTTTCACAGCTCCTCCATCCCCGTATCTTCGCGGAGTGGATGTTGGCCGATATTCGCAGGCTGTTCTCTTGACTGGTGCCGGTATTTCGGTAGCGTCTGGACTATCCGACTATCGTGGAGAGAACGGCACCTACGTCACGAACAAATCCTACAGGCCTATATATTTTCACGAATTTCTTTCACGACATGAGTCTCGCAAAAGGTACTGGGCTCGAAGCTTTGTTGGGTGGCCTGGGTTGTTGAAAGCTGAGCCCAACTCGACGCACCGCGCCATCCGAGATCTCGGCGCCAAAGGCTTCGTCAGTTCCGTTGTGACGCAGAATGTTGACTCCTTCCACTCAATTGCGCATCCCGAGCTACCGACCATTGAGCTTCATGGCCACTTGAAGTCTGTCGTCTGTACTAGCTGTCGAAACCAGTTCTCTCGCGCTGAGTTTCAGAAGTCACTCGAGAGGCTCAACCCCGCCTGGGCGGAGTTTCTTACCCGCATGGTCGAGGCGGGAGCTCTCGACACGAACAATCCCGAAGAACAAAGACGGAAAGGGTTTAAGTTAAATCCAGATGGTGACGTGGACTTGGCTGAGGCTCCATACTCCACGTTTAGGTACCCATCTTGTCCTACCTGTTTGGAGAACCCTCCAAGACTGAAGGATGGCACACAGGCCAGGGTAGAAGTGGAAAAGGATGGGGCATGGCTCCCTTCGTCAACAGCTGGCATTTTGAAACCTGCGGTCGTCATGTTTGGTGAAAATATTGACCCTGGAGTGAAAACAGCTGCTGAAGAGGCTATCGATGATGCAGGGAGGCTACTGATTATAGGAAGCAGTCTTGCTACTTATTCAGCGTGGCGATTAGTTGAGAAAGCCCACAGGAGAGGGATGCCCATAGCCATAATCAATCTGGGAGGCGTCAGGAATGAATCGGTCCTATTTGGGACGAGTAGCGATGTCTCAGCCTCACAGGTCCGTTGCAGCTTTCCGTCTGAGGCGATTCTTCCTCCTGTGGTGTCGCTGCTTCCGAATTTCAATCACGGATGAAAGATAGAGCCGCGAACTGTATGTGATGTACACTGGATATGTCCAGAATAGGTACATGTATGCATAGAATGATAGATATTTAACACTTAGGACCATCTATGTACCCGAGAAACAGTTTATTGTTGGATAGCAGAACCGAAACAGAACTATCTAGAACTCCTTCGAATGTCACAAACACAAGATGTTTCCTTAAATAGGAAAACCTCTCCGATTCGATTACATGGAGGGAAGATTGGTCAGTTACAGGCGCTGGATACCTTATTGTAGAGCCGCGCAGGGTGGATAAGCAACCGCCCGCGATTTGCCATCCCAAGATAGGCCGCGCGGGGCTGGTTCAAACAAGTTGCGATCAGATCACCTCCGAGCATGGACTATCGGACCCCATCCAGAACCGCAAGGGATTCTCGTTCAGAGTACAACAACCCTTCTTCTTTTTCCGAAATCGTATCTACCCTTGTGTCTCCCAAATCCTTTCTTTTCAATAGTCAGCGCCCAAAAGCCTCGACCCAACAGACTTTCGTCACAACCAGAGGTACCATCTCTTCTCAGGCGATGGATAAGGCGCAGCAACCCAGCTCTTTCCAGCAGCTGGAAAAGGTGCGTGAGACTGCTTCTATAACCGCATGAAATATTGTAAAGGGAGGCCAGTACTAACTTCTGCTTCGTCTCTAGCTGGGTGAGGGTACATATGCTACCGTACGTTCGATACTCTTTCCGCTTCCCCGCCTGCGCATCTCATTCAATTCTTCGCAGCGATATTAATATCAATATTTGCAGGTTTTCAAAGGACGAAACCGCCAGACCGGCGAGCTGGTGGCGCTGAAGGAGATTCACCTTGATTCGGAGGAAGGAACACCATCGACAGCCATTCGAGAGATCTCGTTGATGAAGGAATTGAAGCATGAGAGTATTGTCTCGCTTTATGATGTGATTCATACGGAGAACAAGCTCATGCTTGTGTTCGAGTATATGGATAAGGATCTGAAGAAGTACATGGACACGCGAGGCGACCGAGGTCAGCTGGACCACGCCACGATCAAGTCATTCATGCACCAGCTCCTCAAGGGCATCGCCTTTTGTCATGAAAATCGGGTTCTCCATCGAGACCTCAAGCCTCAGAATCTCCTCATTAATAAGAAGGGACAGCTCAAGCTGGGCGACTTCGGCCTGGCCCGTGCTTTTGGCATCCCTGTCAACACCTTCTCCAACGAAGTGGTGACACTGTGGTATCGCGCTCCGGACGTGCTGTTGGGCAGCAGAACGTATAACACGAGCATTGATATCTGGTCGGCGGGATGTATCATGGCAGAATTGTATACCGGCCGGCCTCTGTTCCCCGGGACGACCAACGAGGACCAACTGCAGAAGATCTTCCGTCTGATGGGAACACCTTCGGAGCGTTCGTGGCCCGGTATCTCTCAGCTACCAGAGTACAAACCGAACTTCCACGTATATGCCACACAAGATCTGGGACTCATTCTGCCTCAGATTGACCCCCTGGGGCTCGATCTCCTGAATCGGATGCTTCAATTACGGCCAGAGATGCGCATTAGTGCAGCGGATGCGCTGCAGCATCCTTGGTTCCATGACCTACCTCAACTACAGGCTCAGTTGCAGCAGCAGCAACAGCAGCAACAGCAACAGCAGCAACAGCAACAGCAACAAATGGCTGGAGG